TTCAAGCTCGTTGCCAGATATACTGCTTTCTGCTCCTGAGTCCAGCCATTCATTTCTGCCAGTAGCTCAAATTGTGCTCTATATGCTTCCCATGGAGCCTTCCCATCGAATTCCTGTGGCTTCCTTCGTACTGGATCACTCCTAGTATTGGCATTCATATCTGGGATGTGACTTCTAACAAGGCTGAAGATGTCTGCATTAAGGTTTAGCTGCAGGGTCTGGAAGGGGCTTGTCATTGTCTGGGGCTGGTTAACTCGATGGTTAATGTATCCTCCTTGTGTAAAAGACAATAAATCGCTTTTAAATTTACTAATGTTTTCCATTTGTGCTTCTTGTTTCCTTTCTTGTTCCAGTTGCCACTGCTGTAGTCTTTCTTCTTGTTTCTTTTCTTTTTCCCCAACAACTGCTGTAATTTCTCTTCTTGTTTATTTTCTTTCTCCTCCAACAACTGCTGTAATTTCTCTTCTTGTTTATTTTCTTTCTCCTCCAACCACTGCTGTAGTCTCTCTTCTTGTTTCTTTTCTTTTTCCTCCAACAACTGCTGTAATCTCTCTTGTTTATTTTGCTGTTCGAGCTGCCATTGTTGTAGGTTTTCTTGCCACTGCTGTAATCTTTCTTCTTGTTTCTTTTCTTTTTCCTCTAGCAACTGCTGTAATCTCTCTTCTTGTTTATTTTGTTGTTTGAGCTGCCACTGTTGCAGGTTTTCTTGCAACTGCTGTTGTCTCTCTTCTTGTTTCTTTTCTCATTATTTCTTGTTTCTTTTCTTTTTCCTCTAACAACTGTTGTAATTTCTCTTCTCGTTCTTCTTTTTCTTTTGTGGTTTATTTTCTCGTTCTTCTGGTTTCTTTTGCTGTTCTTGTATTGCTGCCATCAAGTCTGCTAGGCTGTAGTTTGATTTGTCGCTTCTCGTTTCCATTTTTTTTATCCACTCTCTGACACCAATTTGTTACGTCTCCGTTCGTTAGTTAATTTTCCATAAATTCGTTCCGACGGAACTTTAACGACACAAGTCCTTTCTTAAATAAAACTGGTTTATTCTTTCTGAATATAACTTCGCGCTATAACAAACGTTATAATTCAAACGAACGTCTCACGTGCTCAACAATATTCTCTCTGACTGCTGTTCAATTACTCATTGTTCCGTCACGTTGTGACCTTCTTATATAAACAAGACTAACACATCTCTAGTAAATGCTAGAGCATTCACGAAAGAACAGGATATTTCTAGAAGGACGTGGCGTGATACTAGTCACATGACCTCGCTGACGCAACAATACGACACAAATACATGTTATAATTACCGCACTCTCATAAACTCATTGCCAAATGTCATTACGTAATACTGGGGTGAGACCAAGCGATAAAACTTATCT